CACAACCCCACTCCTATCTCCAAAGATCATCTCAGATACCCCCTGGGTCTGTGTCCACGCTGGCGTCATCCTCTGTGTTTACAGACATGCACGTGTAAAATAAGACATGCTCCTATTACATAGTTAGACTTTGCGTCCCCACCCAAATCTCATCCTGAATTGGAAGCCCCAGGGTTTGGGGAGGAACCTGGTGGGAGGTGATTGGATCATGGGGGTGGTTTACCCCATTCTGTTCTCATGATACTGAGTGAGTTCTCGTAAGATCTGATGGTTTTATAAGGAAGTTTTCCCTGGATTCTGTCAAATTATCTCTTTCGCCTGCCACCATGTGCCATGTGCCTGCTTCGCCTCTGCCATGATTGTTAAGTTTCCTGAGGCCTTCCCAGCCATGTGGAACTGTGAGTCATTTAAACCTCTTTCCTGTGTAAATTGCGGAGTCTCAGGCAGTTCTTTCTAGCAGTGTGAGGACAGAAGAATACATCCTAGGTTCTAGTTTGTTGTATGTGAACGTGTTACACTGTGCATGCTTCTCTGCACCATCCTCCAATCACTTTGCTACACATCTTGCGGATTCTGCCTTGTCAGTGTTTACAGGCCAGTCTTAGATTGCGTATTTACCACAAATAATCGAACCGTTCTATCACTGAGGAGTTTTGATTATACACAATATCACATTGAAACATTTTATGCAGGTATCTATGCATATGTGTGACTAAATATATATTTGGTAGAAACCAGGAACTGGAATTGTCAGGCTAGCATATGCACATTTAAAATTTTCATTCATGCTGCCAAATTCCCGACACAACAAGGTTGTTCCATTTGCATCCACGCAAACCTGCGTAAGAGTCCTGTTGACGACATCGTCCCCGCTACACAGAAGACGGGGAAGGCTCTCGTCCCCTTCCTTGGCAGTGGGAGTGCTACCGGCCCTCTCTGAGCCACAGTGGGAGACAAACCTGTTTCCACTTCGGTGTTAATTTTGTGAAACGATGCAATTGTGGCTTTAAGTTCACGTCTAAGTTTAAGAAGAGCTAGTAAATTAGAGGATAGATTATTCATATGATGTCTTTATCTATAAATACTTCCAGGTTACAAATTGCATTTGCTGGTGTCCTTTTAGGTGGTTAGTTGACATGTTGAAATCAGTGGTCTGTTACTTAGAAGTTGAGATTAAGGTTATATTTTAGGCCAGGTATGGTGGTTCATGCCTGTAATCTCAGCACTTTGGGAGGCCAAGGCGGGCAGATCACTTAATGTCAGGAGTTCAAGACCAGCCTGGCCAACATGGTGAAACCCCATCTCTACTAAAACTACAAAAATTACCTGGTTGTGGTGGTGGGCACCTGTAGTCTCAGCTACTAGGGAGGTTGAGGCAGGAGAATCGCTTGAACACAGGAGGTGGAGGTTGCAGTGAGCCAAGATCGCGCCACTGCACTCCAGCCTGGGCGACAAGAGCAAAACTCCATCTCAAAAAATAATAATAATAAGTTATGTTCTAAATATTGATATTGTACAGGTGATCTACGGGAAGAACTGAGATGGGAATGTCCGTGTATGGGAGGTAAACCCAAACCTTTTTAAATGCCAAAAATACATTCCAATATTGCAAATAATTGAAGTCATCCCACAGAAACTTAACTGACCTAGACTTAAAGCAAAGCGCACATGAGTGTTTAAAAATGAGAAGGGTGATATTAAACCTGGCTGTACATTCTTTTCCTGATTTCCTATTTTTTCTTTTTAAGATGTCCCCATTTATTTACTTATTATATATTTCCTTTTCCTTGTCTATATGGTCATCATTATCTTCTGAAAATGACCATTTCTTTCTTTTCTCTGAAAAACTGAAAGTGGACATATTCTAAATCTCATCTCCAACTAGAAGCTGAGTGACTGTCTGATGAGCACATCCTAACACAAAGGCTGTGAGCAACGCAGTGAGCTAAGTGAAATCCGTTTAACTTGGTACAAAGGAAACAAGTTCCTTATTCAGCCAGGAAAGGCTAACGGGGAACCTGCTATGTACTCCATAGTGCAGGCAGCTTATTCATCTCAACCCAGCCCCTGAGCAAGGAGATCGCATGGCTGTTAGTCAGTAGAGATGAGCTACAGAAACAGGCGGAAGAGCTGGAGATGCACCTGCCAATCACAATGCGGACAGGCGGCCAGGACTGCCCTCCAGCCCGGCTGCTATGATGCACTGTCCTCTCCGGCCATTATGGATTCCAAATTTGACCACTGAAGGGCACAAAAAACATTCTTAAAGCAGTTTTCCTGTTCAGACAGTGTCGAGGCAAGGGTCCAGGAAAGTACGCAAAACCAGGCTCAGGCGTCCTTGCATGCCTTTCAGAGGCTCCTCTGAAACTGGCTCAGTTCACGAAGGATGGTTTCGCCTTCTCCTTATGGTGGTGTCTGAGGTGGGCTTTTGTCAGGCAATTGTCTGGTTCTTGCTGTTCAGTGTTACACGTCTGAGAAAGAAGCACTATCAACATATAGCTCTCATCTTTTAACCAATCTCACACGGAGCTTTTAGGGTGAAAAACCAAGAGCATGACCCATTTCCACTAGTAGCTAAGCCTGCAGGTGTGATTTGGGTTACCAGACAGGCACAAGCACTGCCATTTCAGCAACACTCAGCTAAACAAAAGGTCTTCTTGACAAGAAATCTTAGAAAAGCAACGATGGCAGGAATGAATACGTGTGCCTCAGAGGCTGACACCTGCAGGAAAAGTCACCAGGAGCTGACTTCTTTCCATCTGTGTCCCACAGGGGTGGTGGGCACCACCCTGGCAAGAGAGGATGGAGGAAGGCTGGCTTGGTTCTTCCTTTCCTGAGCAGTGCCCCATGGTGGAGGCACTTCTCCGAGAGAAGGAGATTTGCACGATAATTCCCGAAACCACTGAGCCAAGACTCAAAGCTACACATTCACACTCAACACACAACACACGTAGAAAGGAAGTCTGAGTGAGCCTCACAAGGAGAGCACCACACTTCTCTACTCATGGCTCACTTGCTGCCTGGGGATTCATATCAAGTACCACAGCAGTGGGATTCTTGCTTAAAGCATTCGGTGCTAAAAAACGTATTTAAACTTTTAGCCCAGCCCTGCTATTGTCAGATGCAGAACCTGAACTTCAGAGAGTTTTATTCACTCAACAAATGTTCACACCAAGATTGGCTGAGATGGGTCTTGCTCACCCAGGAGTAATGACCGTCCATATAATCAGTAACACTTGAAGAAACGAATAGTTATATTTTTAAATCATATTATTTCAATATTAATAATATCAAGTTTATATGCTAATTGCCTTAGTATAATCTGATTGAGGAAGTAGGGACCCAGTTCAAACAGTTAAAATCAAAGAGGTCAGTTCACAGGGAGTATCCACCAAGTGGACATTCATCCTCATCAAACTGTCCAGAAGGGAATCTCCACATGTGCTTTCATGTCTGCCTCTGTCTCTGCCTCGAAAGGACGTGGGTCTGAATTCCGAGCATTAATGATCAGAGTGCAAACCTGAGCTAGAAGAAGGCGTTGTTTGTCCGGGGTGAATGCTCCTGAATCTTTGTAGATGATTTCAAGGTGGTATGTCTGATGCAGGGGCGTTTGCCTCAGGAAGAAACTGCAAGAATTCCTTGCATTTATACTATGTGGGTTGAGAAAAAGCCATAAAACACACCACTGTTATCAGAGATTTTCCAGTGTAGATAGCTGTGTACTGCTATAAATAAGACCCCAAATTATAATTTGTGTTAAAAACTAAGTATATATTTTTAAATATTACAAAATAACTCCAAACTGATACCTGTAGACTTTGCAACAAAATGAATACACTAACTCTCATTCAAGTTTTGCATCTTGATTTTTCAGGGTAATTTTAAAACCTCTCTAGCTCCACATATCTATTTTGGAATTATTTTGTTCTTTACATGTTTGTTTTAGTAAATTCTAATTAGGGGAAATAATAATAACTGTTACGGTTGCATTTTATCGGCTGCCTTTGTGTTTCCTAGGAAATCTTGTGTTATCTTATTTCAAGTTCCACTTGCTAAGCACTCTGGCTATCATCTTATTACAGGCGGGAAGTACAGTATCTGTTAGAGGATTTATGGTAATGCTGCTGCATCTAGCTGATCATAAACAGCATGGGGAGCCCCTCAGGGTCTCTTCATTCTCCTGACACACTTCACTGAGGCCCATTAACACTTGTCTGTTATTGCCATAGACGCACTTTAATGAGCCTCTTGGAATTAGGAGGTTTGCACCAGAAACAATGGCTTCCCTAACTGAGGCATCACCCTCTCACTTCCTGATTTTCTAGCTCATCATTTTGTTTAACAAAATAAATTCTCTCTTTGGTAGTAGACTTTGAAATACTATGGATATTTCTTCTTCAAATTAGAACAGTCAATGGTTTCTAATACTGAGATAACATTGCAGAAAAACATGATAGAAAGTTAACAATTTCTACATTTCCATTAATGAAGGTAATTTCTTTTGTTGTTGTTACAGTAAGATAAAATTGAGCTGACATTTGGAAGTGGCCTTGTCATCAGCAAACTATATTTTCTTATGAATTAAATTCTCTTATTTCCAAAAAATAAACATACAAAATATTTCTCCCGTATTAAATTGTTTTCTAATTACATCAAAGTGTTAAAGGAGGCAATCATCTGAGAAATGGGCCAGTAATGGCTCAATCTAAATATTAAGTGCATTTGATTTTACCTTCAAACCTAGGACATGTATTTAAAACTCCTCAATATCTTAGGTTTCAAAGTAAATTAACTAAATGTTAAAAAGTACTTCTAGTTAGCCATTATTAGAGTTTATAACAAGGTTTCTGAGTAAAATTATTTACACATCTTCTCAAGGTGCAGTTGCGTATCTTGAAACGTAGCTGTTGTGAGTGTCACAGCACAGGGGAGCAAACCCTCCTTACACCCTCCTCCCTTCTCTTACTGAAGGTATTTTGTGTTGTCGCTCTATCCTTTAGAAAATGAACTCAGAGGAGAATTGGTGAATTCCTATCCAGTGGGCATCTTCGAACCCTGGTGGACGGCAGAAGAATATCAGGTCCAGGGATCACCCACCCAGCGCGGCGACAGTGCAGGTACCTCTGCCCAGCACGGGGCTCCTGGTGACAGTGCAGGTACCCCTGCCCAGCACGGGGGTCCTGGCGACAGAGTACAGGTACCTGTGCCCAGCACGGGGCTCCCGGGATTGCTGCACGCAGCCCCTCCTCTGGTGCTTGTCCCATTTGCTGCTTTGAGTAAATACTTTCATCTTAGCTGCCTGGTGCTTCATGGCTTCCGGGAGGCAGTTAAAAGTTGCATTGCGCATCCTCTCCAAAGAGGCAATTCCTGCCAAAAAGAGCCCTTTGCAGTTAAATTAGATGAGGCATAGCTTGTCCTCACTGCTGACGTTATATCGGGCAGGAATGATGTGAGCCTCCTTTGTGGGTGCTGAGAGGATGCCTCGGCGTGGCCAGTGGGGAGGGAAGGGTGCCCATGACCCTCACGTGGAAATGGCTCGTGTAGAATCACTGCACACAGAATCCACACTTGCAGCAGAAGGAATTGCTTAGTAAAGCACTTGGGGTCTGATTTGGAGGACTGGGGAGGGATGAGATTGGCACATACCCAGTGGCTGCTGCCTGGCAGCACATATTTTTAGAGCTGGAGGTCGACAGGACTGAAATATGGCCCAAATCTCAGATCCTGCAAAGTCTCTGGTTCTGAACGAGTGAGTGGAATGGGAACTCTGGTGTTATCTTCTCAATACTCACATTTCGAAGTACTTTTATATATGTCACTCTGATGAAGAAAAGAAGAAAATTCTGGTAAAAATGGCAATTTCTCAGCATGCTCTATAAGGAAAGCTGTGGCGTGCATTTTAAGGTTCACTGTGCAATTGTGATTTATTTGTCTGCCGACCGCCCCATTTGCCTGTCTGATAATAGAACTACTTACCACTGCACAGAAATTAGAGGCTGGGATTGTCTTCCATATGCCGCAAGCTTGTGGTGCTGCAAGCTTCGAGAGCTTTATGAACTGCTGTAATAGGTCACAATTGTTCTAATCATTTTCTCATCTGTACCCTATTCATTTTCCTGAAGAAACTCACTGCACTCGTTGCTCCAGTTTTGGGAAGGCATTATGTTTAATCGTACATTTCCCCGAGGTTAAAACAACAACAACAACAAAAAGAAAAAACAAAAGAACCTATTCACACTGAGTGTTCATGCACACTTGGCTTCAGAAGCAGTTAAAGTTTCTGAACTGTAGGTGTTTCAAATGTCTAGGCTGTCTTGTTTTATCTCATCTCATTGAATTTTAGTAATAAGTTAAGGACGTTTAATGAAATATTTTATAAGGGTGTAATGTTTACATGTGGCTTCATTGAATTGGATTCTGGCGTTGAGTTAGATGTTCGCATTTCAATGAGCGTGCTCAGTGTAGTTGGATATAAAGCATTCACATACCAATCTCACCCGGAATTATATGAAATCACAAGGAAAAACAGTGAGCTGGATGTGCAAGCAACAGCCATGTTCATACTTGGCTTTCAGTAGGGTTCTCAGCTGAGGTATCACCTTTGATTTTGAGAGGTGTCCATTTTCAGAGTGGGAGAGCAAGTTGAACTTGGTTAGGGGAAAAAGAGATCTCGAGGTTCTAGCAGCTGAAATCCTGTCCTGCTTTGCCCTGGAGACTGCCATGCTCAGTGGCGTGTACACCGGGATCCCTCCAGTCAGGGCCTGAGTGAGCAAACCCTTCTGGGTGTAAGACAAGCTTAGCACCCAAAGGTCTCCAGGGGCCTCCAGATCCAATTAGATAATAAGAGCAAGACACACAACCAATGCTTGCATTTCACGTCAGTCTTTCCACTCAGTCCTCATTGTCTTCATTCAGTCCTCACCAATCATTCCTCACTTTCAGGGCTCTGGTAGCAAGGCGTAAAGGTCACCGTGACAGCCACACACCGTGAAGTATGCAGACGCAGAGCCTCTGACTTCTGGGATTTGTTATCCATGTTCTTATTTTTTAAAGATTAATATTTGACTCTCAGGGGATGGTCAATATCTATTTTCTCTATGTATGTCATAAGTACTTTAGTAAATGGGTGATACAATGAAATATATATAAAACAGTACCTAGAAATAAATGGATTTAGCATTATAGAATGGGAATACATTGCTAAATTAATGAGAATACATCTTCACATAATAAGCTATAAAATGGCAATTTGTAAATCATTGTGTTACATAGACCTGTTGGGCCAACATTTTTTGTAGAGCCAGATACTATTTTAGACTTTGGGGAGGGAGTGGTCTCCGTGCAACTGCTCACCACTGCCACCACTGTCTGAAATGAGCCATAGGCAACAGCGAGCAAATGACATTGCCACCTGACAATAAAACTTTATTTACAGCATCAGTAGAGAACAGATTTGGCCTGCGGGCCTGAGTTTGTCAACCCATGGTGAAGACTTAAGTTCCCAGTTCTGAAATAGCCGCAGTCACTTTTGGCAGAGAGATGGTCACTGACTCCTCCCTGGGTGAACAGTCCCTTGCAAACTCGCAGGACAGTCTAAAGTTACCGTCCACAGACGTGCTGCTCCCAGGAAAGCCCTTCACTGATACTTGAGCCTGGTACCCAAGGTGGAGCTAGCAGAAGCTTCCACAGAGTCTGAAAGAAGGATGAAGAGAGCAAGGTTGTCACCTCTGTGGAAATCAGAGCAGAATTCAAGAGACTCGAAAGATTTCAAGCGGAGGAAACGTTCCTAGTGTGTTTGTGCCTGTATCACCCTGTCTGACTAGAAATATCATCCTGAAAACTGTGTGGGATGTGAAACCAAACCAAATCCAACTGGAAGGGGTGTTTCCACGCCTGGATACAGAGGGAGTTCTGTCCGTAAAACCGCACCTACGCCAAAAGAAAACATTTTCCCTGAAGGGTGAGGGATGCCGGTCAGCAGTCTGTGGGGCAGAGCCGGGCGTGGCCACGAGACAGGACCAGACCACACGACTGCTTGGGGTGGGATTCCATTTGGCCTGTTTTCCCACATCCTCTGCGACTACAAAACAAAAACATAAACATATGAATTTGACACATTAAAAAAAAATAGCGAACATGGAGAATAAAATACCAAACACAAAAGAGAACGATTTCCGGTTGCAGGGGACTGTACGCCACCAGCTTGATAAAAAGGTTAATGCTGAGAAAGACCTTAACGATGCCATAGATGTTTTTAAAGGCTCCTTATGTTTGCCTCGGACTTCAAAAATCTTATTTGGCATGTGAATCTGTGTCGTACGTGATTTAGCCAAAACAGAGCACTAGTTGACATTGTCCACTGAGATGACTTGCTGGAATCGGTGTATCTTTAACGTAGCATCCTACATGATAATACGTTATTACAGAACAAGCCAAAAGAGGTGATCGAGAGAGAAACAGCAGGAACACAACCTGCCGAGTGTGCTCCTACCGCACTGCCCAAGGAGCTGAAAGAGAAAAGGTCTGCTGGTCCCGTAAGTAGTTCAGCGTCCAGCAGAAATTTCCTAGAAAGTTATAGGATGTCAGATTGGAGAACAAATCCTGATTCTACCCCATCATCTGCAGAGAAGTTACTTGGCTCCTTGAACCTGAGTTTCAGTTTCCCCATCAGTAAAATGGCCATAATAATTGCTTCTTAACAGAACTGTTACAAGGATTACATGTTATAAGTGTCTAAAACACTAAATTTAGTCCTTGAAACACAGAAGATGTTTTAGAATTTCCCAGAGCTGTATTGTTTTTGAAATGAGAAGTGGACAGAGGTGCCCGGTTCCCCTCCAGATGGCAGCTCCCCAGTGAAGACCACCGACTGCATCACCTGGCTCTGGGGCCTTGGGGCTGAGCATTAGAAAGGTTGGAGTGGGTTCGGCCTCCGTTATTTCTTGGAAGTAAAAACTCCTGGAAAAGGGAGAGTCGCTCTCAGGTAGCAGAGGCACAAACAGCCTGGAACACTGATTCTGTGTTTGAAGTAAAACACGCTCAGGGCTGACCAGTCTCCATGTCAGCATCTTTTATCCAAAGCACTTCAGGGCCATCTGAAGCATTCGGAGAGCTTGGGGCCCTGAAGGCGGAGTGTGGCTTATTTGTGTACCCCGCTCTCATCACATCACTTGCTATGTCTATTGTGTAGGCACCCGAAAAATGTCAGTCTCAGCAATGGGTGGGTCCGTTACCTTCCCGTGTAAAGCCTCGTTTTCATTTGTTCATAATTTAGAAACAGCTGATGTGCAAGGACCTGCAGTAAGTGTTATAAAGTGTGAAAGTAAGATCCAGAACTTGCCATATGCACCCCAACACACCTAAGGAGTGCTTTTAACTGAAGGTCAAAAGTAGCAGAAAGAATTACTTTTTATGTTCGGCTCTGACTTGGCACTTGACTGCCTAGCACGCACATGTAGTTCTCTTTTAAATGAAATACAATGCACACCCTCATCATGCAACCTTCCATCTTTTTTACCGCACGCCCGTCCGACCTGGAGCCTCTGATATGCTTCCTCCTCCTGTTGAGCCCACACCGTTCTGCAAAGTTACTCATAGATCTACAGGTGCCTCATGAGTCTACACACACATCCCACCGATGTGAAGTCACCTGTTTTTTTGAGTTTCTCATTTGTTGTTGTTTGTGGGTGCAAGTGAAGAGATAAAATTTAACACACATCTAAATGAAGTAAATGCCTATCTTTTTAAATAAAATGCATTATAAGTGAATTATTTCAAATACCCCATCCATATGCAAAAAAAAAATATTTTCTTTTGTGCATTTGTATAACATGTTTGAGTCAACTACTACATGCCAGATGTTATATAGAAATGGAATCAGAGAATTCTGCAGAAAAGCTGTTCTTGTTGAGCCGTTTAATAAGGGTGAGGGGATAACAGCAGCCACAACAAGAGAATAGCTGGAGGAGGAGCTGCAAAGTCATGCGGACAAAACCACCCCAAAGGGGGAATCTGTGTGTTCCTGGAGAAGGCACGGAGGGCTGCAGAGTTACCTCCCAGGCTGGCTCCAAGGACATCTTTTGACTTAGACAAGGATAGTCCAGATGTGGTACCAGCG